ATTACAATTGTTATTACTATTATTATTATCATGATGATTATCATTATCATTCATTCGGGTAAATCACGCCCGGTATGCTCAAATTACGAAAATCCTCCTCTTGTTTAGATAATTATATCTACCTCTCAACTATGAATTAACGAATTTTCTAACACCTCCACCGAGATCGTATCAAATACACGAGTCAGCCGACCCTCCACCCGGTGTTTTTCACCGGGTGTAGGGTCGAATAAATCGTGAATTTGATACTATAACGGTGGAGGTGTAAGAAAATTCATAGTTGAGAGGTAGATATAATTATCTAAACAAGAGGAGGATTTTCGTAATTTGACCATACCGGCTGTAATTTACCCTAATTAATAATAATAATAATAATAATAATAATAATAATAATAATAATAATAATAATAATAATAATAATAATAATAATAATAATAATAATAATAATAATAATAATAATAATAATAATAATAATAATAATAATAATAATAATAAATAATAATAAATAATAAATGAAGGAGATATAATAAACGAACGAGGAAAAAGAAATCAATTTGAGTAGGAAACGTAGTTAGCGGTACAAGAGCTCAACTCCGTATTGCACAAGAAGTGTCCATGTTTAATAATTGATAAACAACAACCTCAATTCCTTCTATCTCATAACTAAGAAGAACTATTACTTCTGTATAGCAGCAGCAGATATTGGTATAATATTTTTCTATTCTTTCTTGTAATCTTTTATAGTAATATAAATACATAAATTTGCTTAGTTTTTTTTTAATCTACTTCTACTTTGTCAGTATTCACGACAATGGAAACAAGAGAAGCCGCACCTTCGAATTTTTTAATCAAGATTAATTCTTTCTCCTTGCTTGGTAGTTGTGGAATGGACAAATACGAGACTAAGAAGTTTATTGCCGGAGACTACAAGTGGTACGTATGTATACCCTAGGGCAGTCGCGAGTCCATGAATTTGTGAATTTGTTATAGGGTGGGTTTAAATTTTCAAGAGTTCAGGGGCAACACCCTTTTTTTAGGATTTTTTTTGTGTTTTTAGGACTTTTTTTGTGACAAAATCAGAAAATAAGAATAGGAAAGAAAAGGAAAAGTAAATTTTTTTTGCATTAATTTGAATTTTGGGTGAGCATGGTTTTTTTGCATTAATTTTAATTTTGGGTGGATTAATTAATAAAAATATGAATTTTTCTTGCATTAATTTATATTTTGGGTGGGGTAATTAATAAAAATTGAGTGAGCTAAATAGATATATAGGTATAATATAAGAAAAAAATTATCAATTGAGGGTGGCTTGAGTCCACCCTTGAGCACGGATGGACTCGCCCCAGGGCTGACTGATTTATTCATTTAGTTATTTTAATTTTTATTTTTTTGTTTTTTGTATGATAAAATCAATAAGTACTTAATGAACAATTTCTGAACTTGTACAGGAAACTAATAATATATCCTTGCGGGGACAAAAATGTCGGAAAAGATGGCGACTATGTTTCCGTATATTTGGCTATGGCGGACACAAGTTCTCTTGTTGCAAATACTGATGTTAATGTTGTATTCACCATCTTTCTCTATAATCAAATTTCCAACAATTATCTCCATTCACTAGGTATGTTTTGCTCTATTGTATATCGTGTATTATTAAGAAACGACCCTCTTCCAGAGTTCCGTAATACATATATTTTTATTTTTGGCCAATAACTTGGACAGGAATAACAAGACGTTTCCATGCAATAAAGTCCGAATGGGGAATTTCAAAATTTATCTCGAAAAAGGTTTTGTCAGATCCATCACATGGATACCTAGTCGATGACAACTGTGTGTTTGGTGCTGAGGTATTTGTGGTCAGAAAAGAAGCTGCAGTCATTGAACGTTTGTCTTTGAAGAATGTTGTGACACCTTACAAGCGTAATTGGAAGATTCCAAACTTTTCCAAACTCGGCGACATTTGGAAATCTGAAGAATTTAATGTCGGACGCCACAAATGGTACTCTTTTCGTTTTAGTATTTTCAACCGTATACCTAACTTTGTGCAGCACTGGATTTGTTACCCATTTTTATTTATATTAATTTATTTTATTAAAATTTAGGAACGTTCATCTTTACCCGAAAGGATACGGTGACGCGAGCGGCCGAAGTGTCTCCGTCTATTTGTACCATATTGGTTCGGAAAGAGTGCAATCATCTATTACGATATGCATAAAAAACCAGGTTTACGATAATGAACACAAGAAACTAACTAGTAAGTTGCAACATCAATTGTTAAGTAGTATAACATCATCTTGCAGCATGATACATTAAATAAGGCCTTTGAAAATATTTTTCAGTTCATACTATTTGCTAATTAATTTATTAATTTGTTTTCTTCTTTTTTTCTTCCTTTTTGCAGTAACTCAATGGTTTCCTGCCAGTGACCGTTTATCTAAAAATAGTGCTTGTGGATGGAGTTCATTCATCGAGCTTGCAAATACGAGTGATCCTAAAAAGGGATTCATCGTGTATGACTGTTGTCTTCTAGATGTCGAAATCTCCGTCCATGCCGTTTCGCATTAACTCCCTTTATCATGGACTATATATTTATGAGAATGTTATTATTTCCCAGTAACAATTAGATTTTCAGTGATACTACTTTTGATTTCATGACATTTCTCAAGGGAATGTTATATTTTCTTTTAGTTTATATATCGTTGCATGACTGCCTCAGGCAGAAGAAGCTTGAGCTGGTAATGAAATGTCTCATTGCAGTTGAAATATTTGAAATGCGTGACGGTGCGATTCGAACTCAAAACCTTTTATTTGGCCTGACTTTGATATCATGTTGAATAACTACCTCAATCAAAAGCCATAAGCGAAATATATCATTTAATATTAGTGTCTGCAATATAATATCTAGGATTGTTCATTTGTTGGTTTTACCCAATAACATAATATTTTTTACCTCTAATTTTGACCAATAATCAACCATTAACCAGGATCGATAATAACAACCAACCCATATATAATTGGATTGGTTGTTAATTGGTCATATGATAAAAGTCGGTTGGGTAATATCGGTCATACTTATTGTTTATTATATTGTGTTTAATTGTAAGAAAATATCAAAATAATAATGTTATCATAGAATTTTAAAACCAAGAATGTTGTAATCAACCAATCCGAACCGTTAGTAACCCTATCCAGAATCATGGGAACTTTAGCTTTCAAGTAATTTAGTGAGTGTATGTAGGGCTGGCAATCGGGCCATCCAGAATCATGGGAACTTTAGCTTTCAAGTAATTTAGTGAGTGTATGTAGGGCTGACAATCGGGCCATGTGAGCCGAGCTTGGATTGGCTCAAGCTCATATACCATCCGGCCTCGTTTTTATAGGCTCAAGCTCAAATACTATCGGGTCTCATGCCTATAGGCTCAAATTCGGATCACTTATTTTTTCGGACTTCGGGTCTATATCGGGCTTTTATCGGCAATATATAAATTACATATTTTACAACTTTGTAACCGAATATGTTAAAAAAAAAACTTATACTATGATAAATTTAAAATACTCATTGCAAGTCGAAAACAATGATAAATTAAGATAAAACTTATATCTAGAATAATCATTGAAAGTAAAAAATAGTGATACATTAAGATTACCTCCATTGATGACAAGAGAAACCCTCAACTTAAATTTTGCAACATACTCTTAACGTTAGGTTTTGCATATACTAGATTTTATATTTATATGAATGAAGAAAAAAATAATATTTTTTACATTAAAAAACTTTTCAGATTCTCGAGATTCGATTTGATTAAATTTATGAATTAAGTACTACTAGTTGTTAACTTGTTTACATCCAGTCGTGTGTGTGTGTGTGTGTGTGTGTGTCTATATATATATATATATATATATATATATATATATATATATATATATATATATATATATATATATATATATATATATATATATATATATATGCAGAATTACATGCAACATCTTGTCAAATTGTATTATTGATGTGCTTCATTAAAAATAATGAATTTCAGATAGTTGACCTCTGTAACAAAAGAATCTAATTACAAAAGGGAAACCTAGAAATACATATACGATCTCTACAGTCCTGTGATGTTATTTTTCCAAAATATATTTAGATAAATTATTTCAAGCTCGAGAGTATTAAAGCAACGCGTGCTTCATTATTTTTTCCCCCATTTTTCTCTACATTGTTTGGATTTGAAAACTACCAGTGATGCATGGCACAAAAAACTTCTCTAAGTACTTGAATGATGTGTTACAATTGTATAAAAGCTAAAATTGAAAATTTATTCCGACTACTGAATGAGGTGGCAAAATGGGATGCAATTAGTACAAAGAAGGATACCGGATTGTGCAAAACAAGATGTTAAAGAAATAGGAAAAATATGTAATAAGGAATGTCAAAATCAAAATACCCATTGATTTAGTCCGTGGGGCTTCCTTCTTCTTCAAGTCAGCTGGGTCCGTACTCCGGTGAGGATACCTGCAACGCCGGGAGGGGTTCCCGGCGGGAAAGCTCCGACGATCCAGTCAGTGATCGGAATAAAGGGAAAGACGTGTATGTAATGTAATAGTGATTAATGTATATATTTCTAGTGTGTGTGCGTGTGTTGATTCTCTTATTTATAGATGAGGAAAGCTTGGCCTTCAAGGCTTTCCTTTTTTAGGGTTTCTCTTTTCCCCCAAGTCATGTATCTTGGGCCTGTATTGTCCTGGGCTCGCCTTACCCCGTTTTGGTATTGGGCTGGCGAGTTAAGGTACTCCCACGTAGTTCCGAGGTTCGCGCCATACGACGACTTCGCTCATAGTACCGAGCTAAGTCATCATGGGTTCTTCATTATGGGCCTATCATATTGGGCTTACCCTAATGGGCTTATGCTTATTTGTTACTTGTCAAACTAGCCCATATCAACTACTCCCCCCTACTCCTTATTTATAATACGAGTTTGCTCCTTCTTACCTCGTGTTATAAGTACGGAGTACGAGGTGCGAGCTCGGACTTTGGATCACGTCTGGTTGATGCACGCAACCTTTCCACTTTTCCTCCATTTAATTACTCTGACATCCCGTGTGGTCGATTCGATTTCCCTAGGTCATCATGGAAAAATTTCAATCAGTGCTTTCAGCGTCGGATTCGAGGCATTCTGCATTGAATCTTGGCCGCCCGAAGAAACGGTTATGATTGACCTTCCCTTTTCCCTAGGTCATTATTGAGGAATTCCAATCGGCGCCTCTTGCATCGGATTCGGGGTGACCTGCTTTGAATCTTGTCCATCCGAATAGACAGTCACGATCGAGCTTTCTCCTTTTCCTTCTTCTATAAATACCTGGCCCTTGCCATTTTTTAAGATTTTTCCTTTTTCCACCCTCGTGCTTTCTCTTCTCTTATTACTTCTTCTCCGGCGAACCTGCTTTTCCGAGACAGAGATCTTATCCTTCGTGCCCATTTTCTACCCCGACAAAGGTACTACTTCTTTCCCCCATCTCTTATTACCCCCGCCTTTACTCTTCGAATTGATAATGTCTGCCCGTTCTCCTGATCCTTTCGGCCAAAGAGTGCCCTCCGGGGAGGGGGGTGAAAACCCCGCTTTTTCTATTTCTTCCTCGTCGGAGGAGGGGCCTTATTTCTCCCCTTCAGGTAAACTCTTGGAACGACCCAAGAAGAAGGGCAAGAAAGAGGTTTCTTCTTCCGCGAGGAGTGGTTCGCCTTCTTTATCCGAGGGGCGAGATTTGGACGACCAATGGGGGCCCAGCACCCTAACCGAAATAGATCTGGCTAACTTAGTGCGCGACATAGGCCTCCCTACCGATGTCGAGTTGATTCTACCTTCGCGAGATGACCGTCCTTTAAATCCCCCTCTAGGTTTTAGTACTTGGTTTTCAGAGCAGTTCTATTTCGGTCTGTCCTTCCCTATCTCGCCCTGGTTTTCTGAAATTGCCCAGCTATGTAATGTGTCTCTTAACCAATTCCACCCTCATGCCATAATAATCATGACTGGATTCCGCATGCTATGCGCTTGGTCGGGTGTGATCCCTACACCAGCTCGCTTCCGAAGTGTCATGGTGCTGAAAAATTCTAGTCCCTTCCATATTTCCATCTCGGCTCGCCCGGGTTTCAAAATATTGATGCCACCTAACAAAACCGATGGGTGGCAAGGTCATTATTTTTTCGCAAAAAATCCCGTTGATACTCCCTATTTATGCCCTTGGCTTGCCACCTTGCCTGAGAAGAAAAGGGGAAAACCCCTGGCAGTTGATGAATGTTTGTTAAAAATGATATCTCACTTTCAACCGAGTTACGGCGTCCCGGATAGCCTCACCAGCTTTCCGCCGATGCTTCGCCACTTCTATTTTCACGACAACAGCACATATTCCTTAACTCGGGAAGATTTAGGTGGGTTTAATCGCGACACCTGTCCTTATTTCGGTTAATTGTTTTACTTTGGATAAATGCTTCTATCATCTCGCCAATTCCATATTTACCTGTTCTATACCTCATTTACTTATCCTGTTTTTTCCAATTTTGTGGGTAGATTTAAGGATGAAGAGGATGTTCCGAGGTGACAAAGCGGCTACTCGCCCCTCCGAGCCGGAGCCAGGATTTGAAGCGTTCGAATTCCAGCGTCCTTTGGTCGCTGAATCCGAGAAACACTCTTCGGAGGAAGGGGCTCTAAGACCCAGGCCTCCCAAAAAGAATGCTGCGCCTCCTCGCGCCCGAGGTGGACCGCGTACTGAGGATTCTGAACCTCCCCGGCGGTCTTCTGCCATAGTTCTAGCCTCTTCGCCACCTTCTCTTTGGACCGAAGAAGTGGTGGAAAAAGAACCCGCTCCGAAGAAGCGGAGGACTGACCTGGCCCTTGGGCCGACTGGGTCGTCCTTGCCTGCTGGTTTTGGACTTCATCTCTGCCAAAACGCAGAGAATGCCATTGCTGCATGTCGGTCCCTGGCCTTCCCCACCGATGTTGCCCATTTCGGGCAGATGAGTAAAGGCGACCGACTTGAGCTACTTCTTCACAACATTACACAGGTTTGTCTTATCTCGGTCATGCGGACCAATTCCTTAATTTCATATTTTTTATTCAAGGCTAACCTTGTTTGAACTTCTTGTACATGTAGCAATTCGCCATCGCTTTCTCGGGTCCTTTGGGATGGGATGATGTCTCGCGTGAGGCATACGATAACCAAAAGAAGGAGGTGACTCAACTTCGAAAAGAAGTTCGAGGCCTGAAGGAGAGTTTGGCGATGTCGGAATCGTCGAAGGAAGGGCTGTTTGCCGAGGTGAAGAGGCTGCAGGAGAGGGAGAAGATCTTACAGGCGGAGAAGGACTCCCTGGGTTCTCACGTCACCAGCCTAGAAGAAAAAGCCAAAGGACTTTCCAACGAGCTGTACGCAGCCGGAGTGCAGGCCTCTACTAATTTCGCCGAGGGGGTGAAAGAAGGACAAAGATTGTTCCCGGGGTCGCCCGAGGGTCTCCGTTTTATTGAGGAGTTCGTTCGTCGCTTCTTTCACCGGTTATGGCGTTCGACTACTTTCAC